GTATCTTTGCCTGGGTATAGCACCCTTTGGGAATGAGTGGGCCAATCAAAAATGGTCCAAAGGTCGTGCACAGTGGCTCATGCTGTAATCCCAGCATTCTGGGAGGCAAAGGCAGGCAGATTGCTTGAGCTCAGGAGTTTGAAACCAGCCTGGGAAAAATGGCAAAACCCATCTCTACTAAAAATACAAAAATTAGCCATGCATGGTGGTGTGCACCTGTAATCCTAGCTGCTTGGGAGGCTGAGGCATAAGAATCGCTTGAACCCAGGTAGTGGAGGTTGCAGTGAGCCAAGATCACGCCACCATACTCCAGCCTGGGTGACAGAGTGAGACTCTGCCTAAAAAAAAAAAAAATCTGCAAACCCATATCCATTTAGGGTCAATACAAGTTAACTTTGGGACTGTCTACTCTGATAGGAACCCAACCAGTCAGCTCCACTTGATATCTTTCTCTGATTTTTCAAGTAGAGTTCTCCTCATATAAAAGCTAAAGAGCGAAGGGTGAGTTCTGCCCCTCTCTAGCCTTGAACAAAAAACTGTAACTTCCTTGAACTTGCTTCCTCAGCTATAAAATAGGGATGTTATTACCTGGGTAGATACTTCACAAGATTGTTGTGAAATTCAAATGAACTCCATGAAAACACTTTACAAATAGTGTTTTGTTTGTCATTCTGCTGTTCAGAGATAACTTGACATTTGTGTTTATCTTCAATGTTATTTTCGAGCATGTTGACACTTTGGTTTTAAAGTGACTCTTACTGATTCTCACACTAAAATGTATCTTCCCATGGAAGTATTTTTCTAACAATATGAGCACAACAAACACATTGAACACATATGCATGCATCCATATACATCATTAAAGACTTGCCTGTTGACATAAGTGGGTTTGTGGGCTTTTTTTCCCCATAATTGGGCAGCCCATCTTTTCCATATTTCATAAAAGCAGGGATTTAAGTACAATGTGCTTAGTCATTCTGTTTAAATTTCAGCACTGCAGTCATTTGAGGCATTCTTTTTAAATCAGTGCCAATCATTTGCATGATCTAAAAATATTTAACCAACTTTAGGGGCCACACAGGGAGCTAAAAAGATGTTAGCCATCTTTTCTATTATCGAGAGTTAACCTTTTTTCTCTTCTGGGTGAGCAGTGATTCTTTGGAGGGCTGATTGCTCTTTAAAAAGTAACCTTTGGGGGTTTTAGTTGAGTAGGAAAGCCAACAATTCTTGGGTTAAAAACAGAATTTTGAGATTTTAGTATAAATTAGAGTTATAGCAACCTGCCCTATATGCCACTGAATTTCCCCTTCTCGTCCTCATGAAGTCACTTCAGTGGGAAGCTACAGAAGAGAAAATGAATTTTTAGATGCTGCATAACACTAGCCTTGAGTGAAGTGTAAAAGGTGCTTTTTTGTTCTTCAACTATATATGTGAATTTTTAACAAAGTATTCAGTAGGACCCTTATAAAGGGAAGAGACAGTAGAAGGGAGGAAGTGATGGATAGTGAGAAAAATAGACTTCTAAAAGTTGACTATTGTTATTTCTAAATCAACTACATAAACAAGAAGAGTTTAGAAAACAAACGTTGAAACCACCAACACATTATCTTAGTAATTGGTCCCTAGTACAAAGAGAAGTTTTAGATGGAGTAACTGTCGTAATTGAGGTTCAGTTGCTAGGTCATGGACGGACCAGAGAATTAATTAATTTTGGAGAATTAAAGTCAACATGAATCTGTGTTTTTAACACTGAAGAACACAGCATACCTTCTGAAAAACCAGCATCAGTGATTGCACTGTCACCAGGTTCATAGATGGTGAGGCTCGGTGCCTGGACCAGACCCTGAGCTCTGCTGCTCGCTCATTTGCCCGACTCCATTTTCTGCAATGTTTCCATCTCACCTTGCACTTCTCTCATCATCGTCCTTGTTTCTCTCCTTCTCCCTAGACTTCTCGGGCTTCCCGTTGGGCTGACCCTGACCACTTTGCCCAGCGACAGAGCTGCATGAATACGTTTGCCAGCTGGTTTGGCTACATGCCGCTGATCCACTCTCAGATGAGGCTCGACCCCGTCCTTTTTAAAGACCAGGTCTCTATTTTGAGGAAGAAATACCGAGACATTGAGCGACTTTGAGGAATACGGCCGAGTGGGGGAGGGGAAGCGAGAAGGGACTGGGGTCAAGCCGCTCTCTCTTCCCAGTGCAGATCCACTCATCAGCAGAGCCAGATTGTGCCAACTATCCAAAAACTTAGATGAACAGAATGACAAAACAAAAAAAAAAAGAAGACCAATGAGAACTCAACTCCTGGCTCCTGGGACTGCACTGGACTGCTCCAAACTCACCTCACTGGCTTCTGTGTCCCAAGACTAGGTTGTGTACAGTTTAATTATGGAACATTAAATAATTATTTTTGAAATGATTGCTATGCAGGTTTAAACTTTTTTAATGATCAAAACTATTAAAAACCAGAGTTCTTTGTTTAATCAAAATTGTGTTGGTTGTGAATATTTCAAAGCTGCTATTCCTCTTCCCACAGACATCATTGTCATGGCCACGTAGGGTGTCCTGCAGTTTCAAAACTTCAAACTTCATGGAAAACACAATAAGTCACTCTACCCATTATCAAGAAACAACTGAGCATAAGTTGTAACTTCATTCTGCAACTTTGCCAGTGAAAATTATTTTCCACTTTGAATCTTCAAATCCACTTGAACTTTTAATTCTAAAATGTCGCTGCATGAAAGAAAGTATTACGACTTCCAGGTAGGCAGTTCTAACTGAAAATTCTATGTTTGGGATAGATACGTATGATAACCATTTTTCATTGGGGGGGTGGGGGGAATTAGTACCAAGAAAACACTAGTATAATTAAGAAATGTTCAGTTTGCACAAAGAACCATCTGGATAACCCACCAGCATGTTGGCAAGATGGAAATACAGACCCACAACAGTAACCCAATGCTTGCAGGGGCGTGGCCACAGTCATAGATTCAACCACTGACCTAAGTGCATAGCACTGGGAAGAAGCTTTGGTTTTGAAGCCAAGGAAGGATGAGTATATTGGGGAGAACATTATTTACAAGATGAGCTTTTTAATGTTTGTGAAAATCTCAAGTTTCAGATGTTTCTCTGTTGAGAAAGAAAAAGGGGTAATAAGGTGGAAATTCATACCAATGAACAAGAGGATTGCTGCAAAGTAACTGACTTTCAGTCTCACCATTGGGACCCTAATGCCATTTTTGGTCAAACGTGGTTTTGAGCAAGAATCTGGCAAACAAAGTAATCAAAAACAAATGTGAATACAGTTTCATTTACTTTTAATTTTTAAATCTGTGGAGAAGTTTAGTTATGCTTCTTGCTAGAAAAGAACATTTCTATCCCTGAAAATGCTATCTTGGGCTTATGATTATTGTTAAATTCCAAGTATAAATTAGAAAAAAAAAAAAAAAACATATCCCTGTTATGAAAAAACAAAGACTTCTGATATTAAATGCCTTCTACATGGAAGAGGCCAGAGAAAACAGGGAAGAGAAAGACATTATTGAGTTTTACCACTTACTATACAGAATAAACAGTAAGCACTTTAGACTTCCTCCCTCAAACTCTCATACATTTCATGTTTCTTTTTATTTTTAGTTAAGAAGGAAAGTTCATCAGCAAATGATGTTCTGATAACTTCAAGTGGCCGTCTTAGGTCAGTGGAAACCATAAGTCCAGTGGACTTCACCTCATCCTTTCTTTGTAGACATCTGGGAGAAGAAGAGGAACTTGCAATGATAGCACGGGGATGGTGTGGTAAACAGGAGTGAAAGTGTTTGCAGAAGTCCAGAGAGGTGATACAATAGGCTACCTAGCTGCAGAGCAAGGAGTAGAAACTGTGTTGAGAGGTGCATAGGCAGTGAAGTTCAATTAAAGAGAGGCTTTTCTCTGCAGCCTCATGACTCAGAACAGCTCCCTAAATACCTCTGTCATCTTATTGGACCCATCCATAGTCCATTCTCAAACATGTCACATTTTCCCCTAAGTAAACGTGATTATCTCTTATGCATTTGTTGAAAAATAATTCTTAAGTCCATGGTACTTGCACTTGTGTCTTTCTATAAAACGTTTGGTCTAATAGGTTTTGTGTCATTGAAGCTGCACTTCTCAGCAAGTTAAAGGGTTAGCAATTAAGCCTTACTCATTTGGCCTTCGCAAATTTGTATTTAAATTAAGTTTTTCAGGATTGGCAAATTATTCTTGTATCTTTCTCCTTTACAAAAAATAAATGCAATATTTTGTTCAATGACCCCCAAACCAACTTGAAACTTAGGTGGTCATATTGGCTTGCAAAGCAATGTCCCTAATTGTACCAGTCTGTCATATGAGTGGATTCAAGGACCTGCTTTGCCAGACTGACCTGTCACCAAGTTCATAGGACACATAGCCTCTCACAAACATGTGTTATATGAAGGAAAATAGTAATTATAAGAACAGGATATGGCACAGCTTTCATCTACTTTAAATCTCCACAGTTTCATTTTATGTCATTCTCTGAGCAAATCTCTTCGAGCTGTGAGCTAGCGTGTTCTTCTCCCATTTGGAATATACAGCTGGGAACAAAACAATGCTTAACAAATCAGTGAAGCCCAGCAGTGATACGTAATTTTAATTCAGTTAGGAAAGAGCTGTACTGCATTGCCACAAGTTGGCAAATCATAGCCATCTCTGTAGGGTGTCAGGAGTTATCTCCTGGTCAAACTTTAATGATAACAAGGGGTCCCTAAGTGGGCCAACATGTGCTGCGTTGGAGAGAAGCCAACGGCCGAGAGTACAGTGCCAACTGCGTAATGAATTACACACAGAAACTCCAAAGAGAACTCAGCCACTTAAGGATTTCCACACAGCATCTTTTCCGAGCTCCACATTAAGACACAGGATCTTAAAAGTAATCTTTAAAAAGCTATATATTTATTTATATGAAAGGTTATAAATATTAAAGCTTACAAATACATTAATATCACCTTTGTTGAAGCTAGCAAAGTGCTCAAAATTGAGACTATAGAGAAAAATCCTTGAAATAATCACGATAGTCATACTACAAAAGACAGCATAGCTAGGTGGGCCTGCCTGGTCGTATCAGCACATTTTCAGACAGACTCTTCAGAAAAAAGGGAAAGCTCATTACTGGAATTTTATGTGCATTACAGTTTAATTTCTTCTTGTTACAAATGGTGCTCAAAGAAGGATCAATCCTGGTTGCATCCTTCAGTTTCCCTTTTAGAATGACTTTTGATTTTCATTACAGTAGGCTATGTTAGCCTTTATTTTGGTGGTTCTCAAATACCTGGTGACTTGAAAGAACGTTATGCTGGTGGCCTTTCATAAAGGTTACTGAACTTTAATCAGGGGTGAGATGAATGAATGTGAATAGACCTATGTACTGTTTTTTTTGTTTTTTGTTTTTTTTCATTAGAAAAAAGAAAACAGGGCACTTGATTTAAGAACAAACCTGTTCAGAGGGCAGGATCAGGGAGAAGACGGCCTTACTAGGTTAGAATCAGAATGAGATTCTTGCTGGACAAGGCTGAATTATGGATGCAAAAGCCAAGCAAACTTCCCAGACCTGGAAGTGTCTTGTGTACCCTTGGGTCTCTGAGAGCCCCAGTGTTTAAAAGTACCAGTTATTGCCATGAACTCTCAAATAAAAATGTCCCTGCCTTCTAATTGTGAATATAATCAACATGCAGCCAGTACATCAGGATCCCAGTTGCTGAATTCATTTACCTAGTTCCCATTCACAGCGACTATGGGCAAGAACCTTTCACATGGTTTTGTCGTTCTTGGCCAGATTTAACCAAGAAATTTCTTTTACTGCCAGCCTAATTTTCTCAGGCATGCTTACAGGGACAAAGTTGTTTCGAGTTCAGTTCTCACTGAATAAGCGTTAATATCAAACCGTGCTAAACTTGTCTCCCTTGGTATTAGAATTTCAGCATATAGAGATTAGTTTATCCTTTGACCCCAAGTCTTTTTTTTTTTTTGTATTTGGGTTTTTGCGGTGTTTTTTTTTTATTTGTTTTTTGGAGACAGTGTCTTGCTCTGTCACCCAGGCTGGAATGCAGTGGCATGATCTTGGCTCACTGCAACCTCTACCTACCAGGTTCAAGCGATTCTTCTGCCTCAGCCTGCCTAGTGTTTGGGATTACAGGTGCGTGCCATCACACTGGGCTAATTTTTGTATTTTTAGTAGAAACAGGGTTTTGCTATGTTAGCTGGGCTGGTCTCTAACTCCTGACCTCAGGTGATCTACCCACCTCCACCTCCCAAAGTGCTAGGATTACAGGCATGAGCCACCAGGCCCAGCTCCAAGTCTTTTTTTTTTTTTTTTTTTTTTTTTTTTTTTTTTAAGCCAGGGGGATTGAGTACCCTAAGACAGTCCTCTCTCCCATCAGTTCAGTAATGCTGTCCAGAACCTCCGGATAGGAAAGCTGTCACTTATACCATAATTGTGATGATGAAAGTGACTCCTCAAAACTTTCTCTCCCTCTTTTTTAACCCTTTCCAAAACTCAAAGGCTTTTGTCTCCATGAGTTTTACCTAGCAGGGATTGTAGTTGTCACTGGTCTACAGTTCCAGTACATTTTATATCAGGAACCTTGATGAACTACCCAGAACTGGAACTTCAATGGCCCAGTAGCTAGGAGAGGAAGGCAACCCTCAAGAAAGCTGAGTCTTCAGGATAGCACAGTCTCACCCTTGTTTAAAATCAAGTCAGGCTAGCCTTTCAGTCACTCTGGTTTTGTAATGATTTGCCTTTTAGATCTCAGGTCATTTGATTTCTGCAATAGTTTTCTGTTCTTCTCCTACAGGAATACATCCCTGTCCTTTCGGTTGTAATTACTCCTAAAACTAGGGCCATGCAAATGACCTGGTTACCATGTAATGAACCTTGTGTACTTATTTTGAGAGAACAATATGTATAGGATATGTTGAGGGGCAGAAAGAAAGACATTGAAAAATGGAACTATTTTAGGTGGCAAATTGTAACGCAAAAAAAAACAAAAGTATACCTTATTTTGTATACAATGTACATTCGGGACAGAGTTTTCTAATATGTTGCCAATGTTTTTGTAGTGTCACCACAGGTCTTTTCTGAAGTGTTTTTCCCATTTGTTATAGAGTATTAATGACTTAGCATAATTAAGCCCTCGAGTATGTGTGAGAGCGCATGTGAGAAAATACAAAGCCATAGACCTTGATTTACTTCACTGACCTGTGTAACTTTATGTCTGGGTTTCGCCATCCAAGATAGATTGTTTTATAGAGAGTGTCACCAAAGACTTTTTCCTTCCAATTTATAGAAGAAAAAAAAAAAGAAATTATTAATAAATGACATGACTTTTCATCTGTGTGGTTTTCATTCCATCTTTTCTGTTGACTGCAGAAAGACGCCAGTTCTCAGGAGGATTCTGTGTGCCAGGAAAGGCAAAGCTTCCCTGGGGATTCT